AATGGTGTGCATACGATGTTAAAAGAACACAGGGAAGAGGGCCAGTGCAGTGGAAAGAATTGACATGCTATTGAATGTCGAGAAAATGTTAAAAGAGCATAGAAAAGGTGACGATGCAGTGGAAGAACTTGCTTGAGCGGCTCAACGGAATTAAGTGAATGAGATGAAAGGAGCCCAAGTAGAGTAGGCAGAGGCAGTATGATAAGTTTTCAGAAACAAACCGCTTCCAGATGTAACTGGCTCACTAATTCCGTCATCAACTCTCGTGTAAGCCGGTGGTAAACTCCCAAGTTTCCTCCGCGTTGCCAGTAAATTCCGGAATTGCTGTCGATTCCCATAGAGGCGCAAAAAATCGGCACTCACCTGAAAAAAATTGGCTGAGGAGAGATTTGACGATTTGAAAAAATAATTGGCCAACGCACGGGCTACCTCTGCGAAGATGCGTTTTTTGCACAGCCCCCGCATATTTTTGTCGCTAACGGCACTGGTTTTTCCGGTAGATGCTTATAGCTAAAAAATTTCAGACTTGCCGTCAGAACTGTCAGGAAACATCCCTTCAAAATTTCAGCCTTCTAGCTTCTCACGTTCCTGAGTTAGCAACTTACCCGAAAAAAACTTTCACGGGCCCGTACGTAGGTATCACGCTTACCCGCGAGCAGGCTTTGAACTCACTAATACCCAGTTGGACGGGGAATATCCCTTAAGATTTCAGCTTTCTAGCCTCTCAGATCCCCAAGTTATGAACTCACCCGAAAAAAAAATTTGGCGAGCCTGTACGCCAGTACCACGCCTACCCAGGAGATGGATTTCAGTGCACTAACACCAACTTGGACAGGGAATATCACCCTAAGACTTCAGCGTTCTAGCTTCTCAGATCCCCGTGTTACGAATTTACTCGGTAAAAATATTTTGGCGGGTCCGTACGCGGGTACCACGCTGGTAATGGCGCCCATTTTGGTGATTGGGGCCGGTACATGCATTTAGATTAAGTTCCAGAAATTTCAGCCCTGCAACTTTTATAGGTCTTGAGACGAAAGTACGTGACAGACGCACACACACAGACACACAGACAACCCCTCGTCAATATGCTTTTTTGCATTGCATAGCTGCAAAAAACGCACAGTAAGACAAAAAGCCACTGATCAAGCCAGAGGTCACCCAAATTGGTAGCTCACATTTCCACTTTTTCCCTTCACGATAAATTTGCCGCATCGTACAGCACGAATTTTATAATTTTTTTATTCCTGCATCAGTGGCAGCTGCTTAAGCTAGTACTTATTCGTTCCATTCATACTTAACCAAACAAAGTGCGGCACAGTGTCTTTTCTATACATTTAAAAGCTGCCGGCTTAGCACCAGCTTCGCCTCGATTTTGCCCAACCCTTATTAATTTGGATGGGTAAAATTTTGAGCAAAAAAGTAGAAATACTTGAAAATTCAAATTTAGTGTTAAAAAATATCACTCACAATCAGCAAAAATATTTTATATCTTTTAATATCGGCAGTTTACTCAAATAGCGTTTGCTGTTGTCATAGTAATACGATTCGAATCCCCTCTGTCTTTCCTCACCTTTCTTGCACAGTGAGAATGTAAAGGGAATTTTGAATTTTCAATTTATTTTGGCTTCTTGCAAATGTGATTTTGAAAATCCATCAAGCTGCGTGGAGAAAAATTTAAAAGAAATGTCTCTTTTGTCCCAAAAACTTGGTGTTCGTAACCAAGTTCTTTTCGGTAAAAATTTTTGAAGCACTGAAGTACAGCTGTATTTCAATTTACTGAAGCGTTAAGAACCAGAAGAAATGTTCTAAAACTGATTATTTCTTGCTAATTTGCTGGTCTATGTCACAGAATTTCCCACCCTTAATTTCCCCAGCTTCACTGCGACCTCTAACTAAAGAATTCCTGCAGAACGCTCGTAGCAGATTGAAGACGAAAAATTACGGTTTTTGCTTATTCCTTTACCAAAGCTATTAACAACCATTTGCTTTGGCCTCTTAGTCGGAAGCTCTGTGGATTAAAGCATTAATCCCTTGTTGTGTTTTAACTAACCGCACTACTGTGTTTATCTATTTTGTTTGATGAGTAAATTTCCCAAGCGACAGACTACCACTAAGTTTACCGCTCATCGATTTACGTCAGTGCCCCTGTCCTGCATAGATAAAATAAACAATAAAAGATTTAATTCGTTGCAGTGGAGTACCTGCAAAAGAGCATTGCTATCACTGGCACCGGTACACGTATCATTGCCGTAATCAAACGATTTTCCGTTTTTGATCTGGTCGGAAGGTTTAGGCGAACGATAATCTTCATGTTCAACAGATGGTGCCGATGCTATTGTGGCTCCCTGTAATTATGCAAACACACGAAATCCGTCTCACTCCGGTTTTGCGGCATATCTTTCTAAGTAAAACCTATCCTATTTTATCATCACAAGTAAAGTTTCACAAAGATAAATTCCC